TCCTTCCAGAGCTGCTCTGCACTTTTGAAAATTCACCCCATAACTCTTATTGTCTTCACTTGTTTTGCTGCAGTGGCTAATGAAGGTGCCACAAGTCAAAGCTTGATGACCACAGGTACCCTGTGCAGTGGCTAATGAAGGTGCCACAAATCAAAGCGTGACGGCCACAGGTACCCCAGTACCACCAAGGTCTGGGTCGGAGTTGACTTGCTCTGGGTGACTCCATCAGGTTGCTCAGATTTCCTGGGAGGGGCATCAAGTTGTGATGGGGTTTGACGGCATCAAGCATTGCAAGGTCCAGGCAGGAGCTTTGCAGGAGCTGGTGGTGCTGACTCTAGGAGGAAACAAGCCGTTCTTTGAAGCCCAATAGATTTGTAAGAGCTTATTATGGATAATCAAAATGCAGGTCCACTACCTGAAAGTCATCATCTTAAAGTCTTTCTTCTTCTCATGCAAGGGAATCGTCTCAGCAACACAATATAGGAAATGACGTGGTGCTCTGACAGCCCTCCAAGGAGTTTCAATGTATGTTAAATGCAGGAAAATATTACATATATCATTCCCATTCCTGAGCCGATAAGTCCTTCCTGCTCTTCATGTCAGCAGTTCTGTTAGTCAGCTCTTCGGGTGGAATTTGTTTCCTGGGGCGTAAAGAGAAATAAGAGGATTTTCCTCCTGAAAACTCAGGCACGCATTATCCCCATGTCCAGCCCATTTGCAAAGGCTAAAACTCTCACAAAAATTATTAAGTCCAATTCTCTTTATATAATCTGCAGCGGTGTGTTGCAATCACTGCTGGTGTGCATTCCCCACTCGGCTTCAAAACCTATTTTGGCAGTTGGAGCGCACATATTCAGAGAGATCATGATTACTTCCCTCCTGGTTGCACAACAGCTCCGCTTCTACCCCTCCCCCTGGGAGATGGGTAAGTGAAATCACCAAACGTCTTGGTCACCTGTTCATACACTGAGCTCCGGGAAATGCAAACTGGGTGAGAGGGAAGAGTTTTATTTAGTGCCCTGGGATATCAGCAGTGATGGAGAACTCGGGGCTGTGCAAGCCGTCAGTCTCCTGATGTAATGACAGTCCATACGATCCATTCCCGTCGGGTTTTTCCCATCAGCATTTCGTGGTTTGCTCCTCTAGAGATGGTGCTGGTGAGAGGGACCCCTCTGCTGTGGTGGCTGCTGGTTTGAGTGGACTTGTAAAATACACTGTCTTCCCCCTCCTCTGCCCCATATCCCTGCTCTTACATGCAAACCCTCACTTTTTAACTGGGAAATGCCTTTTCTACCACACAGCACAAGGGGACCGGGCCCCTTTGGAGGTCTTTGGATGATGTAGAGACACAAACAATATTAAAAACCCCAGCAGACGAGTCCTGTCCCAGACAGAGCATCTCTGGGAGTTGGAGAGGGGAAGAGGAGTGCACAGGGAATACAGGGAGGACGAGAGCAGGACTGGGGTGGGATCTTCTTGTGGCAATTGCATTTCCTTCTCTGGGATTAAAAGCATCTCCTGCTCCGGCTATTCCATCCAACACTGCTTGCACAGTTGGTGTTTCTAACTAACTGCCACCAACCCACTGCCCTCTCCATCACCACAGGTGTGACAGGTTGTTCTCCATGATACCTGGGGCTTTCCACTGCAGGGGAAGGCAAAGCAAGCGGACCTGGCTCCAGCATCTCCTGCACAAGGAGGAAAAGGAAAAAGACCCACAGAGAGTCCCCCAAAGGTGAGCTGGTTGGAGCTGGGGCTTTGCATCCTCCCGGAGGGAAGCGGGACAGAGACCGTGCCATTACCAGCACACAGTTCAGATTTCTGGGTCCTGGCCCACGGCCAGCCCTTGTAGAAAGGCGTTCTGTCACCAGCACAAAGCGGAGCTTAGCTGGCACAAGGGAGCAAACAAAAGTTCTCCAAAAGTTCACGAGGACAGAGTTTTCTGTTGGAAAAAAAGAAAACAAGAGAGAGATTTCCTGGAAATGAACTGGCTTCTTAAATATTCCCTTCAGAAGTCGCCTCCGCCTCTTTCCTTTCCCCTGCCCTGAGCAGAAGGGCTGCAGGGGAAAGCCATCCCTCCACAGCCGCATCTCTCTACCTGCTCTTTGGTGCAGGGGTTGGCAGCAGCCCACGGGGAAGCACCCTGTGTGCAAACCAGCTCCAAAGCTGCCCTAACAATTTGGTGGTTCTCCCTGTTTTCCAGCATGACACAAGCCCTCCTTGCAGATGGTCTCTTTACTGACAAAGCTGAACCAGAGCGTGTCGGCTGTGCTGCAGGATGCATCCATCCTGCCAGCACGAGTGGGTGAGGCAGCTCCCTGCTACAGATGCTGAACATTCCCTGCAGTAAACTCATGCAATATCTTTACCTTAGCAACAGGGAGATTCTTTTTTATTAGATTTAATAATGCCCTCTTTATGCAGCAAAGCGCACAAAGGGCCATTCACCACCAGCTGCCTCCACTGTTGGTCCCCAAGCACCATGGCCCAAATGGGCATCCTGGAACAAATAGCAGCCCATGTCTTTCAGGTTAGGTGAGAAAAAAGGTGTCAGATAGTAGTTTTTGAGTGCTGGGGACCGGAGGAGAAAGGTACATGCATGCTCAAGGTTTGGGAGCTCAGGAGTGTTTTACCCTCTAAGATTTTGGGGAGTGAAGGGGGACTTGAAAAACATCTGGATGGGACAGGAATGACAGGGTTTTCCAGATCTCCTCATCCTCACGCAGCTGCGACACAGATCTGAACACTGTCTGGTTCAAATGCTAGTTAAGCAACTCCCGCTGAGTGTGAGTAAAAGTGATATTTCTGAGAATTGCATGGAACTTCACAAAAAAGCGGTGATGCAAGCTTCAAAACAGCTACGAGACAAACTTCTGCGGAGCAGGAGGGTAAAGCTGAGCGATGTTAAGCACAGGGCTGGTGTCCTGCAGGAAGGCCATAGCAGGGCTGCCTGCGGTGCCCTACAAGATGGTGTCCTGCCCACAGCCACCCCACGGGATCAAGGCAAAGGTACCCCAGCCCTGTGCAGCTCCTTGCAGCCTCTCCTGTAACCCCCCTCACAGCAGCAGTGCCGTGGTCATGCGTGCTTTATGCCAGGCAGGCACCTCCAGATCTTGTACCTCAACTGAACAGAACACATCCTTTCTTCAGAGCAAGCCCAGGGAAAGAAAACCCAGGAGACAGGACCAGCATCAAACAGAAGGTTTCTGGAAGGAGAGGCACCGCGGACATGCTCCCTACCACGCTGCGGTGGCAGCGAGCGTCTCCAGCCAGGCAGACGCCGCGAGAGGCTCTCTCACAGCAGACACGTCCCCTTCCCGCGCAACACAACTGGCCACACATGGCTGTCCCAGAGCAGGGCCAGATGTTCTTCAAGCAGAAGAAATGAGGCAAGGCAGATGTTGGCAACCTCGACGGCGGGGGAGTCCAATTCTTTTTTTTTCCATTCGCTTGGGACAGAAGAGG